GGACTTAGGGTTAGGGTTTAGGGTTTCGGGACTGCCACAAATCCCCTGAAAAGCCGGATGCCTGACAGCCCTACTCCCTAAACCCTAAACTCTTAGTGATCCTCTTCTCTGAAGTTGCCAAGGCCTTGCAGGCAGCAACCACGGCGGTGACGGCGGCGGGTTTGGAGGCCACAGCGGGCTCATGACAGCGAACTATTTGATGCGTGAAGGTCGATCTTCCAAAATGTGCTGAATTTGGTGAGGTGTCGCTGTCACGAGCTCCTAAGCAGGATCTCTGCCACCAGGTCCGTTGTTGTGGAGCTGTGGATCCTTTGTGCGACATGAATGTCCCCTCTTCGCGCCAGGTGCTGCCCTGGCTGCTAATTGGTGGCTGGGCGGCACTTGGCCGCGACTGCGACGAGCTGCGCCGACGATCGGTGACGTCCGGATCTCAGGGGACGAAGCGGCACCTTTCCGGGCCCCACATGTCGCCGTCCGAGCCTATGACTTCAGAGGACAATAGAGCTAGGGCAGCCAAGTGCGACTCAGACGGTTCAACCGTGTCTCACATCGATGGTTTCCAAACGGTCGGACGCGATGCGAGGCACGTCGTCTCCATTATTTCGGCAGACCAGCGGAAACTGCCAGAGCGCCTTTCTGAAATTCAGTGCGAAAGATCTGCCTTGACGAAAGACGGTGCACATGTGTGTGTGTGTGTATATATATATATATAGGGGCATGTGTATGTATGTATGTATGTATGTATGTATGTATGTGTGTGTGTATATATATATATTAATATATAGTGAGTATTGTCAGAGGAGTGTATAGGGGCTCCAACGGGTTCGTGCCTCCCAAGTGGAGCTGTTGGTCGGGTCAGGTTCGTGCAGGGCCACCTGCACATCTTTTCCTTCGACAGCGAGGATGCCGCGCAGAAGCTGCTTGGCCGAGAGACATGTCAGAAGCAGGGGGCCGGCAGCAGGGCCTCTAGGGAGGACCCCGCATTTAGGGGCTCCAGGCAGCGAGGTTGCGATTGGCATGCCTTGCCTCCAAAAAGCCAGCGGCGCAATTGCTCTTGCGATCACGGCTCTTTGCTTTTGTGGCAGGCTTGGGGAGCGCTTCCCAGACATTTGCCGCTTCATCGATGGATGCGGCGAGCGTGGCAAAGTCTACGTCCACTGCGGCGCAGGCACCTTGTCATGTCTAACTACTCCATCTCGGGCTTTTCAAGCATCAAGAAGGTAAGCCCTCGAGGCCAAGCCCCGGCTGTGCAGAGTGCCTGGGGATGTGAGGGTGTCGATGGTGATCGATTGCCCGCTGGCGAGATCTTCCCTGGTTTGAAGGCAGATTCTTTAGATGATGTTCCGAGTTCCACGCATTCCCTCTGTTAGGACGAATCAGCCAGGACATACCGGTCAATGGTTTTGGAGTTGCACTCCTACTGCTCTTGCTTTTGCTGTTGCTGTTCCTATTGCTGTTGTTGCTGCCGCTGTTGCTGCTTGCTGCTGCTGTTGATGCTGCTTGCGCTGTTGCGGTCGTCGTTGCTGTTGTCGTCGATGATCATGGTGCCGTACGTCTTGTGCTCGTTGTCGCTATCGTGGTCGCGTTGGCAGCGGTGGTGGCGGTGGTAGTCGTCTTACCTGCTTTTGTTCCCCACGTCTTCTCTACTACCGGTGCCTCTAAGGTTCCCTCCTTCTGGCAAGTGCTCTTAAAGTCATCGTCTCCGTGTCTGGCTTGGCCCTGGCTAGACCAGAAATTGGGGGCGAGGCAACCGAAGAGTTAAGAGGCTAAGCTAGCTGCAGTTTGTATTCCTTGCCTCCTTGCCTTGCTGTTGCCTTTCCGAAGTGTCGGGTCTGCTAGCAAAAGTTTTGTGGTTCAGCATTTGATGTGTGCTGTTTGAATGCCTTGACGCCAGCTCGGCTATTGCTGTTGCCTTTACGTGCTGCCTGCCGTACCTGTTGCACAAGGCTGTATTCCGCCCGCTCTGGTACATTTCCTCCTGCACTGAGCTGCGGTTCCATAAGGGCAAAGCAAGAACGCACGCTTTCTCATTATCATTCAGGGCCCTAAACCCTAAACCCTAAACCCTATCTTTGGCACCGACAGGTTCCCGCCCACTGCAGGAAAGAGCTTCAAGAGATTGTACTTGCCCGTAGAGTGTAGAGACACCCGTGTCTGGCCTTTAGAACGCAGACCAGTAAAAGGTCGCGTTGACTCCAGTAGGCGATTCTCATTCGTGTGCTATCGGGCAGAACCTGTAATTTATGATCAACCAGCAGCATTGGAGGTATTTCTCGTGCGCCCACTGCTGCGGCCAGCACCTGGTCTGCAACTTGCACGGTTGTGTGTCAAGGCCTTGCGCTTGTGTTGACAGACTTGTTGCGATTGAGGTTACATCATGTGGAAGCTTGGCGTTTCTGCTGCTGTTGCCATCCGACTAATTCGAGCCGCTCGCCCCTGCATTCGCCCGAACGTGGGCTTCGTAAGGCAGGTGATTTTCGACCGTGACGTGTCTGCACGGAAAGGAGCGAGAGAAGCAGCAAGCCGCTTCAAATACCTGCCTGGCAGGGAACTGCAGAGATGGGAGCCTTGCTTGCAACATCATGTCGTGATGATGCGAATCAGGCTGATGATGTTTTTGGAGTCCTACGATACTGGTGATTCTGTCGGTGGTGGTTGTGGTGGTGATGATGACGTTGATGCTGCTAACGTTGTTGATGTCAGTGACATCGGTGATGACGATGACGATGGTGACCGTGGTGGTGGCGATCATGGCGGTGATGTTGAGGAAGATGGAAATGACGACGACAATGATGATAGATGCCAGTGTCGATGCTGACGATGCTGTAGAACATCTCGCTGATGTGGGTGTTCGTGCTATTACCATAATGGTTGTGATGACATCGTAACTGTGATTGTCAGGGTGATGGTACTAAGTGCTGACCCTTCTTTCCTGACTGCATTGAATCTGGAGTTCCATTGGTGGTGCTAGTGTGGGTGCTCCTGTTGATGCTCATAGTGCTGGTGTAGGTGGTGCCGGTGGCCTGTTGGTTCTTGTACCTGTGCAGCTGGCGGTGCTGGCGGTGATTTCTCAAGAATGATGTGCTGACAAAAGGATTGCTTGCTGATTTCCCACAGTTTGCTACCAAGGAGAAGAAGATGACAGAGCTAGAAGGATTTGCATCGTGTGCACGTGCGGCAGGCAGCAGGTTGGCTGTCGCCGGTTTGTGTCAGAATTCATGAGCATTTTCTGCAGCTCTTGTGCCGCGAAGCTCGTAGTTTGCTTTTGGCGAAGCCACCTGCAAGCGCAGAAGAAAGGGTGAGACACCGAAAGACCGAGACTGTCTGCGTTTATGGACTCTCTGTTTCATGGTGCTGTTTTGGCGGTTCTTGGGCCACTAATTGGCTTGCGCCGTGTCTACCTGCTTTCCCGAACGCGTTGATGCCGACCTGCCAAAGGGCCGTAGGCCTTACACTTGAGAAGAAGGTAACCATTTGCATTATATAGTATACCATGTTATGCCACATTACAGTATACTTTATGAACAAGGACTATCATCTTACGCCATATTATATTATGCAAGTCCAGTTATGAAGCTCCGCCTCGGATGCATGGCCTTCAGAAGAGGCGGAGCATTGCCGGAGGCCCGGTGCCTGGGAGGCCCTGTGACAATGCCCTCGCGGAGATTTTGAGATCCGGAATCGGTTAGTGCAAAATGGCATCGGAAGCTGCGGAAAACTTGCCAGCTGAGTCTCCATCGACTCCCCTGGCGGCTCTTTGGATTGCGTTCCTTGTTTCCATATTCGTGGTCGCTGGTATTGACTTCTGCTGCATCAATGGGTCTGGACGTTGTGCTTGCATGCCTACGTATGGCAAGCAGATCTTACTCTGGGTGTTGGCTGGGCTTGGTTTTGCAGCCTTCGTTATGCAGGTACTGGGAGCGGCGGCTGGAGGCAGTTGGATGTATGGTTACTTCCTGGAGTACATGCTGTCGATCGACAACTTGTTTGTCTTTCAGCTGGTCTTCAAGGGCTACTCTACTCCCGAGTGCCACGTGGATAGGGCCCTTTTCTGGGGTATCGTTGCCGCCGTGCTCCTTCGGCTGGGTTTCTTTGGCATTGGCACAGAAATCCTGCAGCTTGGGCTGGTGGCGAGGGTCTTTTTTGGCCTCCTCCTCATGGTCTCTGGATGGAAGGCCGATGCAGCATGCGGCATATGCGTTGCTTCTTTTTTTTGGTTTTTGCTTTCAGCCATGTGACTCTTGTGGTGGTGCAGGCGTTTTCCGATTCGGAAGAGGAGGATGATCCAAGCAAGAATCCTGCTGTGAGATGTATCGCCCGGCTTCTACCTTTGCACGACCAGTACTCCGAGCGTGCTGTCTTCTTCGTTTGGGTGCCCAGACACTCCACAAAGCATCCCGCGGGGCCCACGGTGCTTGGCACGCCCGGGGCCGATGTAGATGGAATCCGCCTGTGCCCTGGTGGAGCTTACGGAATTCATATTTCCTTATGGTCCCTATTTGGACCTGTTTACTTGTACCCCATAATTCAACTCCCAGGACCTATTTGTAATCATCAAGGTCCCCTACGCTCTTATAGTAGTGCTTTTTAAAGCCCTTGTGTAACCCTTAAAGGAACCCTGTTTGTTTCAAGGCTAAGAGACTGCATCCTTTGTGTCCACAGCTGTTGCAACGCCGAGGAAGGACATGGTAGATGGCGAAGATGTCGAGGCTAGATCGTTACCATGGGACCACGGTTTAAGGTTTAGGGGTTTAGGGTGTTTAGTGTGTTAAGGGTGTTTAGTGTTTGGGGTTTAGTGTCAAGGCTTTAGGGCTTTAGGGTTTAGGGTTTAAGGTTTAAGGTTTAGTGTCAAGGGTTTGGGGGCTTGGGGTTTGAGCCTGAGCCTCGCAGGCTGAGAGGGTGGCGGAGATGCATTCCACGCAGCCCACGGTGTGCAAGGTGACGACTGCTGTCACGTCAGCAGCTCAGAAGAAGCATGCGGGTTGTGTTTCAGGTGACCCCACTTTTCCTGGTGGTGCTCACCCTGGCCATCATCGATGTCATCTTTGCCGTTGATAGTGCGGCAATCTCAGCATGCTAGGACTAGAAGTAGCCGGAGATGCTAGCATCGACATCTGCAAAAGGTGACCGCAAAGATATCTTCGGTGGTGGGCTTTCATCCCGATGCAACTGCTCGGATATTGGCAAAGTGTCTTCTATCCTGCTTGCTTCTTTGGTGCCTTATGTCTGGGTCCTGGCTTCCTCGTAGCAACTCCAAACTAGACTCAAAGCCCTACTCGCAGCCCAGAAAAGTTGAACTCTGAAGCCTAAACTCTGAACTCCCGAACTCAAGAAGCCGCGCTGCTCCTTGAAGCTGTTTTTTTTCCTCCACGCTCATTGGGTCTCGGGGTTTAAGCTGCAGGGTTCAGGGTTTAGGGCAGTATGACTTTTTTACGGTTTCCGAAAATAGGGGACCCTAACATAGTACCCTAAATGGTAGGATCCTTATTATAAGGACCCCAAAATAAGGTACCCTAATTTTCGGAAAGTCCCATATGCAGCCTGTGTCATCATAGACGACGTGGTGGAGCAGGGAGCCAGTGGCCAAGTGGTGGTGTGGGTTCCGAGAAACTCTGAGGGCACTTCGGGTGGGCCCTGGGTGAGTGTACATGACAGCATATGGGAGGGTTTAGGGGTTTAGGGGTTTAGGGTTTAGGGTTGTCCACCGAGAGTAGGCGACTAGAAATGATGGCCCGTCCAGAGCCTCGTGGGAGTTCCGAGATTTCAGGATATTCCAGCTCAGGTGAGCTTCTTCTTGAATCTCTCCTCAAGTGCCTTTGCCATGTTCGTGCTTCGAAGCTTGTACCTGGAGCCTTGGACAGTTTACGATTGCTGTCTTTTCGGGTCTTTGTGTGGGCTGCCATTCATGTCCACCCCTATGCAGTCGCCAATCCGCAGATTGACCGCTGCTCGAGATGCAAAGGTAGTCGACCTGCTGACGCACATGTTCCGCTTCCTTCCGCAGCTTGATGCAATGTTGTTGAGTTTCATCACGGCGCTTGGGACTTGTCAGTCAGTTTTGCTGTAGAGGGTGCCTAGCTATTCACGATCCAGAGGGAGAAGAGGGAGGCACGATCAGACCATTCAAAACCCCACGGATGAATGTACATACGGAAAACATCTGCCAGGGGTGTAGAGTTGGATGGCAAATGATACAGCCCAACAAGACACACAAGATTTTAACTGCATTATGCCAAATTGTACATTACTCATCGAAATCATAGGAGTAATGAGAATCACCATACTTCTACATACTAATTGTAATCTCAGAAGTCATTTCAATCATGAAGTAGTTCCGGGCCCCCCTCGATTCGGCTGGCGCTGTCCGCTTTGGATGGGACTTCGCAGGTACGGAGTTGGTGCTGTGCTGCTGTTCATCGGGTTGAAGCTCATCGTCTCGCATTGGTTCGAGGCACCCTTGCTACATCTTAACCCTAAACCCTAAACCCTAAACCCTAAAGAGCTAGGAGGAGTAGGGACTCGAAGCACTTCGAATTTGAATCCGAGGTGGGCATGCTGCTGTCGTCTGTGCTGATTCTCAGTCTCCTGCTCCCTTCACAGCAACAGTCGGTGGGGAGGCTTTTCCAACGCGACCACTTCTCTTCGCGAGGCTGCTTGCCATCGTTGCCTCCGTGGTTTTTCCGAAAGCCGACGAGGAGGATCCTCCACAGGCAGAAGACGAGGAGCGCCAGAGGCACCCCTTACACCTAAACCCTAAACCCTGAACCCTGAACCCTGAACCCTGAACCCTAAACCCTAAACCCTGAACCCTAAACCCTAAACCCTAAACCCTACACCCTACACCCTAAACCCTGATCCCGATGTCAGGAGCCGGAGGCTGCTCCGAACACCCGTGGGCATGAGGAAGAGCCTGGTACACTCTGCGGAGCCGAAGGCTCTCTGATCTTGTTTAGGGTTTAGGGGGTTAGGGGTTTAGGGGTTTAGGGGTTTAGGGGTTTAGGGGTTTAGGGGTTTTTAGGGGTTTAGGGTTGTCGAATTTTAGAGGCTCTGGACGATGAGTTGCCGAGGCCCAAGGCCGGGTGCAACAGAGCGTCCGAAGCTTGCGTCCGAAGCCTGACGCAATTTTCCCGTGTCTCACCCAGTTGCGTCAAAAAGGCACGAGCCGGCTCGAAGAAGGCCCCCTTGTATGCTGGAATGCTGCCGACTTGTGCAGGAGTTGCACCTACCAGTGGATGGAGTGCGCTCAGTTCTGCCTGTCCTGCCCCCAGATGAAGCTGGCGAAAGATGCGATGGAGTCATGCCGTTACGCCGATGATTGCTTTCAGGCAATTCCTCGTGCTGCTTGCCGCCTTACGGCGATCCTTCTTTCAGAAGGAGCTGGGTCAGTGGAATGGTGACGGTAGAGGGGGGCGGCAGCTGGTAGTTGCTTCTGGTGCGGAGGAGGAAGATCGGACACGGCTCTTGGCCAGCATGATGCAGGCATCCCTGCAGCTGTTTTTCTCGACATGAGAGCTGTGTTCTGCAGACTGCTCTCTGCACAACAGGGGACGACAGCCATCCTTGCCTCCAAGATGGGCTTGCAGGAGTGGCAGCGGGGAGGGCGGGACTCTGAGAGTGCTGAGGCATGAGCCTTTTGCAGGAACATGCCTGCTACCATGAGCTATGCCGCCTTCTTGGAAAGATCAACGTGAAGCCGGCTTGCTTGGGGTATGGTTCATGTGTCTCTGCGCAGCTTCCAACCTCCAATTCTGTTTCGAGCAGAGGTCAACCCTAAACCGGCCCTAAACCCAACAACTTGAACACGCAGTTCTACCGAGCTTGACTGTTAGGTGGAGAAAAAGGTGTTCAGCACAAAGCCAACAACAAGACGGCTTTCTCGCAGCCGAAGGAATTTGCAGTGCAACTCTGCATGGCCAGGCTACGCATCAGCTTAATGAGTTGTGTGCCAACGAACAGCCCGGAGCTCAAGACCTTCGGTTGTTGAGAGGAAATCACTTTCTATTCCCTTGCTGTTGTGAAGGGTTTCGTTTGCTGCCCCGGATGGGACAGTAAGCTGCGAACCAATTGCGCAAATCGTTCGAGACCTCTTCTCGAACGGCTTCTCTTCAAGTCATGCATTGCCGCTCTCATTTGAGGTTTGGCCAGAAGTTGAGAGAGCTGACCCAGGGACTTCCAAATCCCTCCAAACCCAAACTCCGACACTCCACACGCTACCTAGCCATCGAAACCCTAAACCCTAAACAAAAGCATCTTCTTGCACAGCAGGGCCCCGCCTCCGTCCTACTGCAGGTTCCAGGCATGGATCGAGCAAGTCTATGGCTTCACCATGGATAGCCTCCGGCGGCTTGGCTAAGAGCGGAAGCGTGAGCGTAGCTTCCGCTGGCTATGTGGGTGTCGACGAAAGGCAACGGCTTTCGGTTGTTTAGGAGCCCAGAGTGTGCATTGCTGCAGATGCAACAAGCCAAGGCGGTGGGAAGTGATGCCGAACTCGAAGCACTACCTTCTGGGCTTTTGGGCTGCCATGGTTAGTCCCGTGATCCTGCTGCAGGCATCTCGACGGAATGCCCTTTTCATTTCGGCTCCTGGCAACGCTTGGGCAGGACAAGGCTCCGAAAGCCCTCGAGAGCTTCATCCAGCAGGCCAGTTAGGGTTCGAGGTTCAGTGTTTGAGAGGGAGCTTCTTTGCCACCTGTTTCCACAGATTCCACAGCCGCTAACTTTGAAAGATCTTCGGGAAGGTGACCGTCGCTTACGTAGAATCACG